CTGGTAGTAGTAGTGTTCTGACTCACAGATTGTAAGTATGTTTTTTTATATTTAAAGCGAGTTTTCGTTGCACTGGATTTTACTTTTAAGCAATGATTACTTTGAAATGTGCTCTTATTTGAGATATAGTTTATTGATATAATTTATTTTACTAGTGTTACAGTTATCAGGCTAAATTAAATTCAGTATTATGATTTTTTTTTTTTAATTATAAGTCTATAATGATACAGCTACATATAAACGTGACTTATACCAAAATAAGGCTGGTCGATTTATAGTAGTCTTGAGTTATGAACGAAAATATGAAAAAATTCCCCCATGGTCTCTCCTAGCTCACACTTCCTGTCTGTTTTTTTGTTTTTGTATTTAAAAACGTATTGATTTTTAATTAAAAATGTCAACACAATTCATTTTACTGAATTTTTATTTTTTTGTATTTTCATTTCCTAAAATAGTTTTCAAACAAGAGTACAAAAAGAAAATCAGCTTTGGTTCTATAGTGTGTTCAATCAGGTGAGCTAATGGCAGTATATAAATGCCTGCTTGAGTGTTATTGTCTCTGATGGTCTCCCTATCAGAATGGAGACTAAGCTGTGTTTAATGAAGGCTCTAACGAGCAGCGTGTCCTCTGAGGAATGCCAAACTGTGCCGCCTCCTCCTCTCCATCATTACTCTGATTTGACCAGGTTTGGAGCAGACAGGCCTTTCCACAGAAATACTGCCCCAGATAGAGCTCAACCAAATAATCACATCACATGAAGATGACTGTCTTTGAGAAAACATTCTTTAAGATGGGAAAAGGTAAAACAATCCAAGCACACACACAGAAAACATACACTTACGTTTCATTAGGCATGATGGAAATATGGTACATGGACAACACATTCTCAGACTTGAAGGCGCCACATAGATTGTGCCCTGAACTTCCTGGGATGGATATTGATAGTGAAAATGAAAATGGGCAGTGTGTTTAGACTTAGATGTTTAGCTATTACCGCTCATTTCCAGCTTCAAGTCGGGAGGGGATGTACCCTGGGCTCTCAGAAAGGGGAAATGGTGTGTCTTCGACTTATTAGGAACAATGTCCTAATGCAGCTCACTGCAAACAATCGGGAGTGAAAGAAGCCGATAAACAAACACATGAAACTGAATTTTAAACATGCAGGATAAACACCATTCACAAACACTGTATTTGTTTATATATTTGTAAATCGTGATCTCATAATTTTCCTTTTAATAACTTTGTCTTCAGAGAACAATAAGCAAAACGAACACAAATATTCTTACTGCACTATTACTGGAAATGCAATCTATTGCATGCAAAGTCTGATTCTTTCAGTGAAAAGTAATCACATCACTCATGAAATAAATGCACAGGAAAATATGGGATACTAAAAGTTTTTTCAAAACACATCAAAATTCCACATTGATACTTTTTATTTATTTATTTTTCATTCATTTCTTCAAAAGAATGTACTCTGTTTTTCTTTATATTTGATTGTAGTTGACAGTGTATTAGTTGACTTGTGTATTTCTTGTGAAGTTGTCAGCCCTGTTAAAATAATTTCCCCCTTTTTCAATTAACACACAAATAAATAAATCTTCGCAGTCGTCATCCCAGGCTTGGAATTATGTTCCAAGAGCTTGCAGTTGCGTTTGAAAGAGATGGAAAAACGCAATTTAAACACATTATATACCTAACAGAATCTTTGAAATATTACAAACCTGTTTAAAATCACTTTATCAAACTGGAAAAGGTACCCGTTTCAAAGAAAGACCTTACAGTTTGTGTCCAAAACGTGGCGTTTTAAGCAGAAGACTATTAACTGCACCGATCAGTAAACATATTGCTGTGACTATATATATATATATATATATATATATATATATATATATATATATATATATACTGTATATACACACACACACATATGCATATAAACTTAGAGCACAAGCTTAGATAACCTGCTTTGTGCAAGCATGTATGTATATGAACACTCCCTGAATCAGAAAAAAAACTGTGCAGCAGATTTAGTATACAGACATGTAATAAATGTCCTCAAGTAAAATTATACCATCAAGTCCTTAATTATTGGTGTTACTCATTGAGTTTATACCCTTTACTTAGTTGCTTTGCTATGCAAAATGGTATGAACAGAACAGCAGAGGGTAAGATGACCTCTGTGTAGATGAGATACAGGCTGCAGCTCAAGGCCAGTGGAGATACCTAAAAGAAATAACAAGATAGTCTAAAAATGCCAGTGGTTTCTCACAGGTGAAAATCTGACACAGGTGAAAAAAAAAATAAAAAATACTGCACCAGCAGTGCTGATCACGCAACACACCCAGCAGTGTGATCACATGCACACCCAGCAAATGATCACATAACACACCCTGCAGTACACACCCATAATACACAAAAACTGCTTCATTATTTTGAATTATGACTATTTTTCATAGCCTATTTAGCGCATATTTAAGCAATAATATTAATAATAATTTTTGAATGCAATTGATTTTAGGAAAGACTATTACATCAAAGAATGCTCCATCTATCTATCTATCTATCTATCTATCTATCTATCTATCTATCTATCTATCTATCTATCTATCTATCTATCTATCTATCTATCTATCTATCTATCTATCTATCTATCTATCTATCTATATATCTATCATCTCTATCTCTCTCTCTCTTTCTCTCTATATATATATAACTCTGTGCACAACAAAGCACCATAAATTGGTGGAAACTGGAATTGGAAAATGTGTTATTTATAATCATTATGACTCCAAATGTTCTATAAATTGGTAAAGATGGTTTTGACAGACACAATTGATGTCCACAAGCTAAATGGCTGTACAGAGATATTCTTCATCTTTGGTTTTGATCTAATCTCATCTGTAATCAGTTTATAATCCATAAAGCAGTTCAACTTTAATTAAGGACATTAAAAAAACCAAAGGGACAATGTGCTACCTTTGGTCCTTTAGATTTTCCACGAAAAAAAGTGAGATTTATACAATTTGGAGCAACTTGAGACAAAGTAAACGAGAAACTGTTCCTTCAAAAAATACAATAATTAATGGAATTATTTTTATTCTACAACAAAGAAAAGATTTTTTTTAATCTTCAAAAAAACCCAAAAAAACAGCGCTCCTTCAAGTACATTGTTTTATCTGTCAAATGCTGAACACTGATATGGGAATATTACTGTTCAGTGAACTCTGATATTGTTCATTGCCCTTTGTCTTTACTTTCTTATCACAGTATGTATGATAATATGAAAGTGTCTCATATGCTGCACAAACAGAATGGGGTTTTCAGCAAAGAAACTCTATTGTTTTGATATCCCCGTTCCATTCTTTTGAGGCACAGGCCGTTTGTGTTGTCTGCCAGTATCCTAACAGACTGTTGTAAAGCAGGTTTCATACTGAGATCCATAAAAGCTTGTTTAATTCCACCAACATCACACCCCACTTTCGGTCACATGAGAGCAGAAACGTGTTTGTGCTAGCTGCCCTCTCTAAGACAATGCCTTCATCTCAGTATGGGGTCTGGGCTCTTCTCTGTCAGGATGTTTCTTTCACCTCTTTCTCAGAACAATGCATGTCAAATCGCCAATGGCCATGGGAGTACATCCTGGTAGACAAATGTGTTTTAGATGGTTAAATCATCAAAACTCTTAAAGGGACTTCGACAGACTAAGCCAACACAGAAAACAAAAGCACCTTTAATTGGCAAGAAATGGTTTCCCTTTATCAGAAGGATTAGGTTTTATAACAGAAGAAAATCATGTAATATCCAATGGGATTTGTCAAAATTAATGTTCAATTTTAACAAGATTAAATGTTGGCAAGTAACAAACTCAAAGCCCATGGGGGGTGTTGAAAAACACAGTAATAAGGGCAAGTATCAAGCTGTGAAATAACAGTAAAGTTCATTCCACTCATGGCAGGGGTTATTTCCTCTGAACTCACCTTGTCCCCGCTCTTAGTCAGCTAAATCATATCTTACATCAAATTCAAGATATTTTGCATTAATAGCTTTTAGTGGCAGATGAATGTATTGGTAAGTAGAGTCTAAACAACAATGCAAAATTGATCATATAGCACTACTCAAATTTTAATCAAATGAGATCCAAAGATCACTTTTACTTTAAAATAATAACTATATAAATTAGAATAACAAACGTACATGTTTACATTTTCTTTATACAAATACACACACTATTAAAGGTTTGGGGTCAGTAAGATTTTTTGTTTGAAAGAATTTGATACTTTTATTCAGCAAGGACACATTCAATTGATCGCAAGTGACAGTAAAGTCTTCTACATTGTTACACAAAATTATATTTCAAATAAATGCTGTTCTTTTGAGCTTTCTATTTATTAAAGGATCCTAAAAAGAGTATTAATGTTTCCAAAACGTTTTTAAAATCTTTTAAGGATCATGTGACTCAAATTGGAGTAATGGCTGCTGAAAATTCAGCTTCACCATCACAGAAATAAATTAAACCCTGAAATTAAATTAAATTATTACTGTTAATTGCTGTTTTTATCTTCTTTTTTTCATCAAATAAATGCAGCTTTGGTGAGTGTAAAGGAGAGTTCTTTCAAAAACATTAAAAAATCTTACTGACCCCAAGCTTTTAAATGCATACGTATACATTACAGACATTTAGGTGAGTATACTCTTATAGCATAGTGTGCCCTGCAATAACAATATGTAACAATAATAAGACAACTTTACAAGTCCAGTGTTATATCATCTCATAAAGACATATTAACAATTTGATACCAATAAAATTGCCTAAAGTGTTTGCTTTTATTGCTGTTCATGACTCAGTCACTTTAGTGATTATATAATTACATCACATTCATTTAAATAAACTGTATTTAGATATTTGGTTTGATCAAGTTCTCCTCAAACAGTCAAATATTTTAACAAATTGTGTTTAGAGCCTTCAAAGTCTTTCATCGAGTGATGCACCTTATTATTAAATCTTCTCTGATTCATAGGCTGGGTTGATCTTCCCCTCATCCATACTCTCTTCTGTTACACCAAGAAAGCCTTCATCTCTTGGATTTTTGTCAAAATGTCCCGTTTCTCCACTCTTAGGCATCTTGGTTTTGGGATACCTGTAGCACAGTAAGAGTAGTCCACTTACAATGAGCATGCAAGCTGAACCCATCCCAATCCCAATCCCTGGACCCACTTCCTGTTTTACTGGAGCAGAAGGCAAGTAGAAGTCAGGCGGGAAGTCTATAGTGAGATTGGCCAGTACAGAATTCATATTCCAAAAGACGGGCACCAGCGAACACACTGCAGTTAGCCAGTACAAGGAACCCGCCATCACAAAGGTCAATCTGACATGCCCGCTGTCGACCCCAAAGATGGCATTTCTCACCGCATGTCCCGCCACCAGGTTTGCGATCACCCCCATGCCAACAGCAACCATGCAAAGTACCTGGGCAGCTGCTATTTCTGGTGGAGTGAATGAATCTGTAAGGCTGATGCTTTTGCAGATCTCAGCCAAGTCCAAAATGTGGCTGTTGAAACAGACCCGCCACACTCCCACCCAGGCCAATCCTCCCGTGATGACTGTCTGATTGTCCACGTACCATAACCTCCAGTCGTTCACCCCAGAAACGGAGGCTGTCATTATCCATCCTACAAACCCAAGCACCAGACCCGCAAACTGCCGATGGACTGACTGGGCAAGGTAAGCCATTGCTAAAACTGACACCAGGTGGTGATGAGTATTTCCTCAGGTTTGCACACTGTCCTTCAGGAACATGGCTACATCACAGTCATACCAATTAAAGAAAGTAAAAAAAAAAGCTGTTTTAACCTCAAAAGTAAGTTATTGAAACATTTTGCATAAAAAAATAATTCTATACACCAAGGACACCCAAATATGATGATCCCCTTCTGAAGGACCCCATTCCTAAAATATAGAGGCCACTAGTACCAGTCAAAAGTTTGAGGTCAGTAAGATTTTTTTTTTAAGAATGATTTTATTCAGCAATTAGTTTGATTAAAAGTGACAGTAAATACTTTTATATTGTTACAAAATATACATTTAAAAAATGCTGTTCTTTCGGGCTTTCTATTCACATATGATTTCCAAAAAAAAAAGCAGTACAACTGTTGTCAACACTGGTGATAATAAGAAATGTTTCAGCATATTAGATTGATTTCTGAATCTGAAGAATTATGTGATGATAGGAGTAACGACTGCTGAACATTGATAGCTTTTTACTGCTGAAAGCTTTTTTACTGTTTTACTGTATTTTGATCAAAAATGCAGCCTTCGACAGATAAAAGAATTCTTAACTTTTTTTTTTATCTTACCGACTCTAAACCTTTAAATGGTAGTTCATATTTTCATGTAAAGATGCATTTATACTGTGTTGGAAAAATGGTAAGCATGATATTATGTACACAACATGGTAAATGAATGAATTAAAATCATTCAATTCAAAATGATACAAATTATAATAAAAGAAAACAACTGACTTTTATATTGTTATTGTACTTAAGCAAAAGAAACTGAAAAAAAATGAAATGCCCAAAAAAGAGAGTAAAATATTATTGGGAAAATATTTAACTTGTTTTAAAAGGCATTTTTCTGTTGAAAGCTCAAGAAAAAGATATGATTCTTTTTCCAGGGCTGTCGATAGAAAATTGACAATAAATATCATGATTTGTGACCAGTCATCACAAAGTAAAAAGATACAGTAATGATTTCAAATAAATGTTAAACTTTTTACTGAAATTTTCTATGGACCACCAACACTTTGGACTTTTTATGAGCTTTTGTATCTTTAATGATATGACAGAAAAGAGAAGACAGGGAAATACAGGAAGAAAGCAAGGGGAATGGGACATGACAATGGGAAATGACGCAGACCGGATTGAAACCTGCATCAAGCCTTCTTGACAGTTCACAAAACAAGTAAATGTTTGGAATATACAAAGTTCTTCCTTTGGACACAAAAGGTCAAGGTCAAGCAACCATTTCAGACTGAAGAAAATGCTTTTCACATGTAGTGGTGAGCGATGTTTCCAGAGGGAGGAAAAGGGACACTATGTTGAAGGTCAAGCACAAGGCTATGCATTTGAGACCAAGCAGAGGAGAAAGAAGAGGACAAGGAGAGAGAGAGAGCAGTAATATTTCCTGCCTGGCTCCCTGCACACCTGGGGTGCCGGAATGTTCCAGGATAAGCTGAAAGGTCATTTACAATAATCAGTTTCTTCACGCACAGGAAAAGGAAATGGCAAAAAAATTCATAGAGCTTTGGAGAATTGATTTCCTTAACACTTTGTCAACCCCCACCCCAGTAAATAAATAAATAATCAAATAAAATCATTGCTCTTTTGTTGGTTTTGATTGCTTCGATTGTGCTCATTTGTAAGTCGCTTTGGATAAAAGCATCTGCTAAATGTCTAAATGTAAATAACTCCCACATATTACTGCCTAATTTATGGCTGTAAAGTGTATTAAGAGCATTCCGTTGTTCTATTATATGACCTTTTCACTATTTCCAGAAGTTTCTCCAGCTCTTATCAGCAATTTTAGCTTTATAGTCAACGTTTGTGTAAAGATTGAAAATGTATATATACATACTTCGTAATGTCACTAAATAATCCACAACAAACTCCTGCTTACCTGTGAAATGTTCTGAGCTCTAAAGCATCTTCTAAACTGTAAATCGCTTCATCTTAAATACAGAGCTCCTCGCCTCTGCCGCTCATACCAAACTAGCGGAAATGACAACTTTGCGAAGTGACAAGTACAAGTCAAACACAACTGTGGTTAATGATTAATGTAGCATATTCAATAAATGGACAAGAGAGGGCGGGGAGGACCAATGCTAAACAACGAAAAGTTACTCCGCACTGGATCTCTGAATTACCTCAGTTACCTTGTCTATTGCTTCGGCCTTTCCAGATGGCCATCTGAATATAACGTATAGGCCTAGTTCGGGCTCCTAGTTGAGTTGTTGGAAAATACGTATAGTTGCTTTGTGGAATATTCGTTGAGAACGTCCCTACAGTGTTCGTGTATTCACATAACGTACAGTAACGTGTTATTTGCGTAGTTTTATCTAAAGTTTTATCTGTAAACACAAGCAGCTCACATCTGCGTAAAAGGCAGGTTTTAGGGGACTATATTTTAATATCATATTTCAAATGATCAATAAAATCTGACAATGGCATAATTTTTTTTGTTTTGTTATATCCTCCTGACAAACAGCTATGGAGTTTTGTCCTCTGTAGAGGACATCGTTTTTTTTTGTGATTTCTCTGAGACCTTACATGCCACAGTTGTAAGTCTGGATGTCCTGTACAGAGCACATTCAGGGCTTTTCAGAGATACAACATGTTTGGATGTTTTACCGTGATCACTCGCTCTCCTTGGGCTTTAGAAATGGCTGATATTAATTTAGGGATCAAATTCAACACCCTTGTGGAAATATGACAATATATTGTAATGATCATTTAAATCGGAATAATTTTCCAATTGTTTGTCATAAATCAACATCTCAGGAAAATGTTATGGGGTTTCAAATCAAAATATGACTTTGTTACGAAACAGGACTTTCATACATGTCCACTGTAGAGGACACCAGGACTAAAAGCATGTTTATTACACATTTTGGGAGACACAACAAATGAATAAGGAAATAAATTATATTTCAATATTCCTATGAAATATTAAGATATTATTAGCCAATTATTACTCCCATTATCACTTCTTTTTTCATTACATGTTGCCCCAAAAACAAATTAATATGCAAATTACATACACTTTATAGATACATTGTAATGGGACAACCCGTTTATGGGCATTTACGCATGTTGCATAAAGCAAAATGGTATATCAAATCATTCTGTTATATCTAAATAGAGAAAAATGGATTGTGGATTTAAAAAAAAAAAAGTTTCATGTCTATTCATGTCTTTTTATTTATTTTAAAAACAGGACTTTTTAAAGTCCTGGTGTCCTCTACAGAGGACATAGCATAACATCTGGATAAAATACAATTTTTCAAAAATGTTATTTTTCCATATGCTCTAAACAATGTAATGACATGAAAAAATATTAAATTCAACTTTTTTTTCTTCTGGTAGGTCAGGAGGATATCACACTGAAGACCTGTATTTTCTTCACGCTGCTCCAGCTAAACTATCAAAAAGCAGTTGATTTATTTTTATTTCATTACTGTTTTCAGATTTTAAAATGTTTGTAATTTTATGTAGAAATATATTGAATATTGGCAATATAAAGGCTACACACATATGCCATACTATTATGCAAGTTGTGCCATTATTTTGCTCTACCCGCTATCGGGTCAGTTTTACATGTCAAAGTCTCTTTCCTGAAAGGCCAAGGCTAGCTTTAGTTAAATATTAGGCGATCAGAGCTATTCAGATGAAAACAATGATTGCACAGAGAATCGAGAAATAAAGGGATTGAATCAAATAATACAATTTTAAATTGTTTACTGATACAAATAATGTTGTAGGAACATGCCACTATAATAACACTAAAACATCATTCCTTTGATCTGGATTGTGGAAAAAACTCCATGTAATTAAAGTTCAACACCTAAAAAAAAAGAAACTAATCATGCTATATTTAAAATGATGTACACTTACATAAGCGGAACAGTCATATTAAAAAGTATTTTACCTCACAGATTATCAGACACTTTTGTTTGTAGAATAAATTAATCTTGATTGACAAATACATGTGCTATTTCTACAATGTTATCGGAAACAATGAATAGTAGTAATAGTAATGTATATAGTATATAGTAATGGTGAGCATCCTGAGCTGTCGCATGAAAGACAGGAATTCATTGCATGCTTTAAAAGCCCTCCAAAATAATGTCACTGGTAAAGCAACTAAAAATCACATATTTGTGGAATTTGAGCAGTTATATTTTGGCTACGTTCAACTCGACAATCAAGACAGACATGCTGTCTTTTCTACGCAATGCATCTTTTAAGAAAAACACTTGTGTGACAGTGAAATATAATAATTAAGAGGGATAATGTCAAATGCAATACACTCATGATGCTGCTTTTCATTAGCTATCTGCAATATTGTCACTACTTAATATATTACATGCCGTGTAAGATGTAAGTTGTATATGATGCTCTTTTTCCCTCTTGAATAAATTCATTTTGAATCTGTTCTGACCCCATAAAACATCAAACCACAAATATCTTACAGAACAAATTATAAATGACACATACACATGACTTGGAGTAAAAGGCAGCTGGTATTTTATAGACAAGCATTGGATCCTTAGTGAAATAATGTTTTAGAGTTTATGCAAGTCTAGATTCTTTAAACAGCGGAATACTTAGTCAATCCTAATGCTGATGTTACAATGCATTGTATGGTGAAATACATCTATAAAAAGCGCGCAGACTAAAGTGGTAGTTTGCTTGGCTAAAATAAAGTGAAAGAGTACAATTCTAGCCTATTCTAGTTATATACAAAGATTCAAAAGGCTAAAATAAATTACTAAAAATATAATTGATTTACTTTTAACATGACCAGGATAGTGACACGTCAATTGAAATAATGCACCATCAAAAAGTCACTTTCGGAAGTTAATTACAATCGCCTGGAGTAAATAGAAATACAGCTTACATGTGCAAAGCTTTATGCCACCGGGATTTGGGTGTATGTTTGAATCACAAATGTTTGTATTGGCGTTCAGGCATAAACATTTTGAGGTGTCTTTCATTGCCATCTAGTGGTTACAAAGATACAGCACAGTGAGTGAGCAAGACATACTGTACAGCGTGTCAAGTTTTGAGAGCACATTGGGCCAAAAAGGGCATGATCTATTTAACCAGATGTGAGAAAAAATTAAAAGCTTCTTTTAAAAATTATTATTATTTCACCATATAATTCTACGGGTTGTGTATCATTGAAAGGTCATGAAAGTATAAGATCAGCTGACAGGTGATTTGGTCAAATCACGATCTAAAAGTGCCCAGCACTTTCAGGGTCTTCATGAGTCTTGCCAAACTGCTGTCTGCCGGGGCAGACAAGGAGCAGAATGCAGTTCCATTGGCAGTAAATGGACCACATTAAGGACTGCTTTGGAACCCTGTTATTTAGGGCGACGTCAAGCGAGTTGCTGTGGATCACTGCATGAACTGTTTTTCAAGTCCTCAGTTGCTTGTCCTCTGGTCCATTGGGAGACTGTCCATCAGACACTTGAGCTGCTCCTCCCCCAGTTTGATCTTGTCCTCGAGCTTGCGTTGCTCTATAATAAGGGCTGATTTCATCTTCACAAAGTGCTCATAGTCAGCCATATTCTCCTCTGACAGGTAGCTGGCCAGGATGTCGTAGACCACCCGTTCTCTCCTGTCAAGATTCTCCTTCAGCTCCTTGGCATCCTCATGTTGACGGATCAGAAGTTTGCGTTTCTCTGTCAGTGTACGCTGCAGAAGGAAAATGAACGTTTTCAATCAAAATCAAGTTGTCCAATTGGAATTAAGATTTTTTTTTTTCTCTTATGCTCACCAGGCTGCATATATTTGATACTGTAAAAACAGTAAAAAACATTATTATTTCATTTCTGAAGGATCACGTGACGCTGAAGACTGCAGTAATGGCTGCTGGAAATTCAGCTTTGCAATCACAGGAATAAATTACATTTGAAAATATATTAAAACAGAAAACAGTTCTTTTTACAATGTAATATTATTTCACAATATTACAGTTTTTACTGCATTTTTGATCAAATAAATGCAGCCTTTGTGAGCATAAGAGACTTTTTTCTTTTGCAAAAACATTGCAAAAATGTCAAACCTATATATAAAGACAGTTTAAATCATTAATAACGATTATTATCTATTTATACTCGTAATTCACCCTCTCTCTCTCTCTATACATACAATTATATAAAACTTTTTGTATTTGTGAAAACCTGTATTTGAACTGCAAATCATGTTTTTTACAGTCATTTTATGGTTTAATATGTTATCATAGACATTGCCCTACCCCACTCATACAGTATTTATTTTATTTGTGCAGGTCCTAAAAAGCCTTTAATTTTATTTTAAAAAATCCTACAGATAACCTGTAAATTATTTTTCTTTCTTTCTTAATTAATCATTTTTATTTTAATTTTATAATGTATACACTTTATGTTGGCTATTTATATAATGCAATATTATATCCACACAGGTGGTTTTTAATAGCACAAAAACATCTGATTTAAATGAAGAACTCAACTATGTGAGTAAACATGTCATTTACCACAGTTGTAAAGTGCTGGAAAAGCTTGAAAATGCACCTTGAAAATGCTTGAAAACTGCTTGAATTTGACTTTGGAAAAGGTGCAAGAACCCTGCATGGTACTCACGTACTACCATTTTTCATAGTACCAATTTAAGGATCTCAGGACTGAGATTGTAAGGATAGTGGAAGAAAAAACGGGATCTGGAAGTGGTTTGGTCTGTGTCAGCAGTAGTATTGTACTTGTATGTTAATGTAGTTTTACAGTCTTCATAAAATTCTGTTCTTTTATTAGACAATTTTTTTGTGCTTTTTCGTCAATCCTCCACAACATCAATCTCAAATGCTTTCCTAAGTCCCTCTTCTTCAGTCTCACCCTCTCCTCCAGTGAAGCGTCTTCCTCCAGGCTGTTCAGGGCATTCTCTACTCTAGCCAAGCGTCCAGACAGAGACAGCAGAAGGTTGACCACTTTATCGAGATCTCCAACGAACATACGGAACTTTTCAAGTTCATTAGGCTTGCAGACACCCTGTACGATGGCCTCCACATCCTCCCCAAGAGCGTTGTTGTCCTGCACATCCTCCTGAAGACTCTCCTGAGCTTCCCTCAGCACCTGCAACTTCTTGCTGAGACTGTCAATCAAATCATGCTGCAAAGAGAAAGATAAACATGGACAACGTCATTTGATACAACGGACTAATAAGAAGTATCTCACTGTATCACACAGATGTGTTGCTACAGCATGTTAGTACCTTCTTGCTGGCAAGATCACTTTCATTGTCCTCCTCCAGCTCCTCCTCGGAGTTGTGCTCCACACTCTGTTCCTGCATGTCCTTCATCTTAATCAGCAGCTCTGCTTTGGGTGCAGATGTACTGTAGTAGGTTGAATTACTCACTAAAGCAGTGGCTGCCACCAGGCTTTCCTCCTCTTTCCTGAGAACCCACAGATGACTTTTATGAGAAACATAAATTGTTCATAACATAAACAATTGATCCAAACACCACAGAATTACTTGTGACATTATTAAAAACAAACAAACGAAAACAGTAGCTACGTTTATATGGACACTTTTTGCTTCCATCGGAATTCATTCATTCTGATTGGCGAATCCGAATGTAGTGTTTACATGAGCGCTAAATAAAGTGATCAGGTTGATAAGCACATTTATATGTCACAAGCTTCTGATCAGATTTTATCTTTTGACATGCACACACTGCATGAATATGTCGCATACGGTTTTAAAAAGTAAAACTTAATATTTATCTACTTTGGGTCCTAATTAGGCGACGACCAGCACATGAACTGTTGTGCTGTGCTGCTTACTTTTACTGCTTTATAAAGTGCCCTTTTCCGCACCCAAAACCAGTCGTCTGTTGATGAGAGTCTTAAACAAGGTGGATGTTGTCCTGCTCCACTTCACAGACGCTGAGTGAAAGCAGAATTTTAGAATGATGGGACACTCATTTATGACACTTTATTCACCAGGAAGAACAGCTCGTTCCGTGTGTCATATGTCCTTACGCTATTTTTGTACATGTGCAGTACTTTCCAGTTTCGGTTTTCAATCAGATCAAGTGTTTACATGTCCTCTTGCTCGGATTACAAAAGGAATAAACCACCCCTTACAATCCGATCGAAATTTTAATCGGATCTGGTCAATTCAATCTGATTGACGTGGTTACATGTGACTTTTTTTATTCCGATTGTGCTTCTAGTCCTATTACGATCGGATTATTAGGGTCCATGTAAACGCAGCTAGTGATGTGAGGCAGGATTATCCGTTTGCCCAACCAATGGGAGACAGGGGAGAGTTTAAGAATAATTATTTTTGCTATTCTGTTTCAGTGACTTCAGATTTACACATAGTCTGCCAGATTGCTAGATGAGTTAGTGCCCAAGATTTGCAACAAGAAAAATAAACCATGCTTATATAAAGATAACTTGAATGAAAAAGTAGAATTGGACAGGCTACAATTCAAATATTCACTAAATACCTTTCTCAGATTTTTATTTTTTTATGAAAACCACATGGGTAGGGCTCAATAACAACCCTGACCTACTGATTAAAAAATAAATAAATGGAACATCAGACACCCAAGTTCAATCTTCCTACTCAATAAGTTTGCAATTAAGGGGAAATTCTCATAATAATGAAATACAAATTTGGCAAACTGAAGTAGGAAATAGGATTACAGAAAGTTTACAAGTAAGAAATACTGACTTCTCCACAGAGTTGCGAGGAGAGAGCTGTTTAGGTGCAGCTTTCCTGCGCTGTTGGGCCTCCTCCAGTAGCTGCTCTCCCTGAGGGAAAATCCCCTCCATCAGATCCATGGTGGTCTTCAGCTTACTCTGGTCTAAAATGTCCATTAGGGACTTGTCCTTGTCCATTATGTCTCTAGCCAGCTCCTTTCTTTTCTCGTCATCATCTGACTGCGAGAGATGTGAAGACACTCCGTTGCTGCTTTGATCTGATGAAGGGGCCGTCTGCAGGCCATGTAACGTATAAGATACTGGGTTCATGTTGGTTTGTGGACCCTGGTCTTTCAGAGGACCCATATCTGCTTCTCTCAGACCAGGCCCCTGGTCCTTTTGCCTGGTGTAAGTACAGAACAGAGAGTATGAATGATCCGGGTTCCCCAAACTCTGAAGAGGAGTTACTCCAGGTCCTTGAGAGCTGACAGGGGTCTCCATGGGCAGGTCGAGATATTGTCGACTTTCTTTTTCAGTGTCACTCTCGAAGTGAACAATCTTAATGGGAACTTTCTTCACTGACGTGTTCTCATCTGTAACCCTATCCATCCTGGTAAAAAACAACAACAACAACAACAACAATGAAAATAGAAATAATATTCTGGTGAATTAAAGAAATGGAACATAAGGAAAACTGGGAAACAAGGCAAAAGAATAAACACAATAAGGGCAGGCAAAACAATTTTCATGGGTATAATCTGTGTGGAAAAACATGAAACTTGATCTTTTACTTCAGGCTAGTAGGCTTTGCATACAGGAAAATGTCAGCTCCTGTGACCAAATCCATGCATATATTTAAGAATCATACAACTATATCACTGAAACCCTCCTGTCCAGTTCAAACCTTGGTTTTCTCCAAGCTTTTGATGGCTACAAACTGTAAGACTACTAAAAAGTTCCCATATTCCAGCAAAAACAAAGCCCCAGAAATTATATTCTTCAACAGTCTTTAGTTGAGGCTGGGGAGGTATCTCTCTTATGACTGATCTGAAGAACTGCAGTACACATGGGCAATCTGCAGCAAGGACACATGAATAAGCCCCTTGTATGTGCATGAATACAATAAAGAGACAGTCAGAGAAGCACTGTCATTAAATTACTGGGCTGTACGGAGAGTTTCCAGTGATGGTTTTAAGGAGCCCAACTGTGGTTTGCCAGTGGAAATCTCCCTGAATTCCAGCACAGACCTGAAAAAATTCCTGAACGGCAGAATTTAACTCTAAATACAGAAAGTCTTACCTTCCAGGAGCATCATCCTGTATGGAGACAGAGACAGGGGGCTTGTCAGTCAGCCTCTGGGGAGCAAACTGGGGCGAGGGTGAACGCTGCCCCTCCATGGTGGGCTGGGTCGGGCCAGCGGTTTGTTGGGTGGGCAGGACAGCTGGAGGAGGAGGAGGTGGAAAGGGAGGAGGCACAAGCTCTTCTTGTAGCTCCTCCTCCCTGGTTGGCCCTTTGCTGTGCTCTGAACCCTTCCAGGGAACAGAGACTGAAAGAGGGGCGGAACTTTGATTGTTGATAGGAGAAAGTGAGGCCAAGACTCCTCCTTGTGATCCAGGCTGGACCTCCTGAAATTTGCTAAGAGGAGGAGGTGTGCCCTCAGGGCATTTGTACTTCTCCAGATGGGGCAAGAGAACAGAGATCTTGTTTTTGGAGAGGGCTGAAGATTCACTGCGAGTGTTATGGTCAGAGAAATGCAGTGCAGTTTTATGATGACTGGATGGAGGATCTAAAGCCTTTTTCTCCAGGTCTTCAGTCAAAGCCAAAGGAGGTGCTTCTGGTTTCTCCTTGCATATGAGTTCACTGTATCCTTTTTCATGTAACCTAAGAAAACAAAGGAGAAATGCTTTGAAGTAAAATTCTCAATCCACCAATGCACGCAACCAATGAAGATTTATCAAAGACCCAGACTCTGAATTTATTTTGTCCTTTTTGGTGCACAAAGCCTCACTGTGTTCAGCGTAAATCGATAGGCAGGCAGACATTTCTCCCACATTTCACCATCTCTCCATGGTAACTCCCAGGCTGGCTGTCATACCCAGCATATTTCTGTTCCCACAAGCCTGTCATGCTGTGAAGAATGAATGATCTTTCCCCTGCAGCAACTGGCAAGGAGAATGCATTTCCCTTCGTAATCTCGATTGTTTCCATTTATGTTTTACTCTCTTCCTTGTCTACTCAGATTTATGGAGGCCAGGGAGGGATAAGGCGGCTATTGTGTGAATATTTTATAGAAAATTTATTGGGAAAGAGAAAATTCACTAATATTACAACAACCTATGAAAGTAACTTTTAGTAAGATATTAAAATGTATTTCTTTTTCAGGCTTGGCAAGCCACCTATTACAGATGTCTATTAGAGATGGGTGGTCTGACGGTATATATTTATACCATGCGACATTAGAAATGTGTCAACTGATAGAGATTCTACTGTACAATTATTTTGGTGATGCCTCCCACAGTCAATATGTGCAAATGAATTATACCAATTTAAAAATCTACCGAACTGCACAGAAACACAGGATACTGAATTACCTGCTGGATGTATAGAACCAGTGGCTGTGCTCCAAAGAAAGAGACATAAAGAGATTAAAGAAGAGTAAAGAAAAGCAAATAAGTAGTGAGTAGCTGTAGAATGGATAGTCGTTATACTTCAGTTAAAAGTATTTTTTTAAAATGTTTTGAAATGAAGTGTCTTATGCTCACCTAGGCTTTATTTATTCAATCAAAAATACAGCATACCAGTAACACACACACACATATGTGTGTGTGTGTGACGTGTGTGT